TTAGCGGAATTATGGTCGGTGCACACCAGGAATCTCGGGAAGAATTTACGATAATATTCCCACCTGCCCTCGCTCAAATATACTTCTTTATTCATTACTAATTTACGCTCGTATTACCCGGGGCCGAGGGAGGAGAGGGGGGAACTGGTTTTAAAAAGGTTAAGAATGGATGATGTGTTTTTAAATGCATACCTTTTTACATGCATACCTATGGGATATCCAAAAATCTAGCTTAAAGATTTTGTGAAATAAATGAAAAATTACTTAATTCTGATTTCTACATTTTATAAATTGCCTTTAAATAAAATACATATGAATATGCATGGTTTAATCTTAACAGCTAGTTATCTTTTTAATATCAGGTTCCACGAAACATAACAGTTGGTGAATAGTTTTGAATGTCTTCTTCCATGCTGTATCAGATATCTTTTTGTAGTTCAGTTTGTTAAAAAATCTTTTACTCAAATATATTTTACGTTGAAATTAATTTTACTTTAAGATGACACCCATACAATATTTTTTATTATTCTTTTTGGTATCAAACTACTTAACAAATTATGGAAGAGGATATTTTAAACCATTTACCAACTGTCATTTTTCGTGGGACACCCTGTAGCAGAAAAATCAAGTAGTTTATACCTAGATACCAGGTAGTTTACATCGAAATATCAAGTAGTTTACACTTATGGTAGTTAATACCTAAATATTAGGTAGTGTACACCTAATGTAGTTCGTATCTTAATATCAGTTAGTTCACACCTATATATCAGGTATTTTACACCTTATGTAGTTTAAACCTAAATATCAGATGTAGTTTATACCTAAATATTAGGTAGTTTATACCTAAATATTAGGTAGTTTACACCGAAATATCAAGTTGTTTACACCTAAAGTAGTTATAATACTTAAATATCAGGTGGTTTACACCTACTGTAGTTTATCCCTTAATATTAGTTAGTTATAAATGTTAGTTTATACCTATATATCAGGTAGTTTACACCAAATGTAGTTTATGCCTACATATCAGGTAGTTTACACCAAAATATCAGGTAGTTTACACCTAATGTAGTTTCGTTAACCAAAACAATTACTACTGTTTAATAGCCTGCATAACCCCTTCTAACCCTTCACTAGTAAGCTCATTTCAAAATAAGAATAATTATCATAAACATTAAACATTCAAGCCCTAGTAACAATTATTGTTAATTGAACTTATTTACAGGATTGAAATAAAGATATTTCTGATATTATCGTCTATGGATTAGAGGAGAACTCGTGGGAAGCCTTTAAACAATTTCCAACCTTCTAAATTGCAAACCTGAGAACTTTAGTTGTCAGGTAGTTTAAACCTAAATATCAGGTACTTTACAACTAAGTATCAGGTAGTTTACACCGAGATATCAGGTCATTTACACCTAAATATCAGGTAGTTTACACCGAAATATCAGGTAGTTTACAACCAAATATCAGTTAGTTTACAACTAAATTACAAGAAGTTTAGTATAAAATATCAGGTATTTTACAACTAAATATCAGGTAATTTATACCTAAATATCAGGTAGTTTTCAACTAAATATCAGATAGTTTACATCGAAATATCAGGTAGTTTACTCTATAATATCAGGTAGTTTTCAACTAAATATCAGATAGATTTAACCGAAATTTCAGGTAGTTTAAACCTAAATATCAGGTAGTTTACAACTAAATATCAGGTAGTTCACTCTTAAATATCAGGTATTTTAGACCGAAATATTAGGTAGTTTACACCAAAATATCAAGTCGTTTACACCGAAATATCAGGTAGATTACAACTAAATATCAGGTAGTTTGCAGCTAAGTATCAGGTAGTTTACACCTAAATATCAGGTAGTTTACGACGCGATATCTGGTAATTTACATCTAATGTAGTTTATACCTAAATATCAAGTAGTTTACAATGAAATATCAACTAGTTTACACCTAATGTATTTTATACCTAAATATTAGGCAGTTTACACCTAAATATCAGGTAGTTTACTAAACTAATATCAGGTAGTTGACTCTTAAATATCAGGTAATTTTGAACTAAATATCAGATAGTTTACACCGAAATATCAGGTAGTTTGCTCTATCAGGTAATTTTCAACTAAATATCAGATAGTTTACACCAAAATATCAGGTAGTTTACGACTAAATATCAAGTAGTTTACTATTAAATATCAGGTAGTTTACACCTAATTATCAAGTAGTTTACACCGAAATATCAGGTCGTTAACACCGAGCTTAAACCTAAATATCATTTAGTTCACACTGAAATATTAGGTAGTTTACATGTAAATATCAGCTAGTTTAAAATTAAATATCTGGTAGTTTGCACCTAAATATTACGAAGTTTAATCCCACCATATTTCTGCTCTGCTCCCAAATTACAAAAAATGACTTAGTTTACCTGGTAAATCTAAAACAAACGACCTCTTTTTTATATATTAATATATTAATCTTATGAAGAATTGAAAAAAAAGGTTTGAGTTATATTCATAATTCCTTTCCCTTTTTTCTTAAAATATTAAAGATTTTTCCACATTTATATTAATATTCTGCTCTTAGCTTTAGCTTTTCTTTGCTTTGTATTATTAATCTTTCTATTCTATCATTCACTTTCCTTCTTTTCTGTTTTGTGAAAGACGACATTGAGACAATTCTCTTGAATCTTCTTTCTCTTTTTTCCTTCGCTTTACATTCTTTTCTTCTATCTTACTTTGTATCTTCAAAAACTTACATTTTTAATATTCACAATTCAATAAGCTGACTTACCCTTAAAACTGTAATATAACCAGGGGGGCTGGATCTTAGCTTCCTCTCCGTGTGTGCACTTAAGGGATAGTTTACTGATAAAGGATATTAAGAGATTATGGCCTATACATACAGTACAAACATCAAATATGCAGTACGCTATCGGAGTACAAGTGTATGGGGAGGTTTTTTAACTTGAATTTTACTTAGTTTTCTCAGAACTGTTTATCAACGATGAAATATTGCTCTGTAAAAGACTGAAATAGTGCGTCTTCCGAAAAGGGAATCATGCACACGATAAAGGAGTAGTGGATTTAAATAGTTACATGGAAAACAAATTCTCCATTTAAATATTTTCAGAAATCACCCCGTGTACTGTAATATACAGATTGACCAAAGGAAGTAAAGTACATGGCCTGTGCAATTCTTGAAGGATAAGCGTACATCATCACTCTATATACTAAAACCTCGATGAATATGACAGTTTCTTGATTAAAAAAGCGCAAACATTTAATATTTCATGCTACCCTTTTGGGATGTTATTTCAAGAGAACCTATACTCCATTTTAAGAGTTAAATTTCCGTTTCACATATATTACAGACGCTTCTAATTGAGGGTTACTTAAAATTATGTCGACAGTTCAATTCACATTGTTCCAAGTTTAAATTATCTGAGAACTTTCTATATTTAAATTTAAAGAATAAATTTAACAATTTATTGTAAATAAATAAATAAATAAATAAATGAATAAATGAAAAATTTTCAGCTCTAGATCTGTGTGGCTCCAGTTTATCCCTTAATATTAGTTAGTTATAAATGTTAGTTTATACCTATATATCAGGTAGTTTACACCAAAATATCAGGTAGTTTACACCTAATGTAGTTTCGTTAACCAAAACAATTACTACTGTTTAATAGCCTGCATAACCCCTTCTAACCCTTCACTAGTAAGCTCATTTCAAAATAAGAATAATTATCATAAACATTAAACATTCAAGCCCTAGTAACAATTATTGTTAATTGAACTTATTTACAGGATTGAAATAAAGATATTTCTGATATTATCGTCTATGGATTAGAGGAGAACTCGTGGGAAGCCTTTAAACAATTTCCAACCTTCTAAATTGCAAACCTGAGAACTTTAGTTGTCAGGTAGTTTAAACCTAAATATCAGGTACTTTACAACTAAGTATCAGGTAGTTTACACCGAGATATCAGGTCATTTACACCTAAATATCAGGTAGTTTACACCGAAATATCAGGTAGTTTACAACCAAATATCAGTTAGTTTACAACTAAATTACAAGAAGTTTAGTATAAAATATCAGGTATTTTACAACTAAATATCAGGTAATTTATACCTAAATATCAGGTAGTTTTCAACTAAATATCAGATAGTTTACACCGAAATATCAGGTAGTTTACTCTATAATATCAGGTAGTTTTCAACTAAATATCAGATAGATTTAACCGAAATTTCAGGTAGTTTAAACCTAAATATCAGGTAGTTTACAACTAAATATCAGGTAGTTCACTCTTAAATATCAGGTATTTTAGACCGAAATATTAGGTAGTTTACACCAAAATATCAAGTCGTTTACACCGAAATATCAGGTAGATTACAACTAAATATCAGGTAGTTTGCAGCTAAGTATCAGGTAGTTTACACCTAAATATCAGGTAGTTTACGACGCGATATCTGGTAATTTACATCTAATGTAGTTTATACCTAAATATCAAGTAGTTTACAATGAAATATCAACTAGTTTACACCTAATGTATTTTATACCTAAATATTAGGCAGTTTACACCTAAATATCAGGTAGTTTACTAAACTAATATCAGGTAGTTGACTCTTAAATATCAGGTAATTTTGAACTAAATATCAGATAGTTTACACCGAAATATCAGGTAGTTTGCTCTATCAGGTAATTTTCAACTAAATATCAGATAGTTTACACCAAAATATCAGGTAGTTTACGACTAAATATCAAGTAGTTTACTATTAAATATCAGGTAGTTTACACCTAATTATCAAGTAGTTTACACCGAAATATCAGGTCGTTAACACCGAGCTTAAACCTAAATATCATTTAGTTCACACTGAAATATTAGGTAGTTTACATGTAAATATCAGCTAGTTTAAAATTAAATATCTGGTAGTTTGCACCTAAATATTACGAAGTTTAATCCCACCATATTTCTCTAGACACTCAGAATACTCTAGACACTCAGGATACTCTAGACACCCAGAATAAACTAGAGACTCAGGATACACTAAACACTCAGGATACATTTGACACTCAGGATACAGTAGACACTCAGGATACTCTAGACACTCAGGATACACTTGACACTTGAAAAATTATAATATTATACCTTCAATCCTATTTCCCAACCTCTATTGGATAATGATGATAGGAGAACACCCTTCCTACAAATAATGTAATTAACAAGAAGACGACATTCAAAACTGTACTGATGAGCATAAAATTTGTCACTTTTCCCACGAAATATGACAGTAGCTAGATGACTCGTCTTTGATCCTTAAACAAATTGGCGCCATTTATATGTAAACCTCATTTTAGAGGTAAATTTTAGAGTTAATAATCTCAAAATACCCCTAGTCCTGGTGTTTCCAAATTGTGGTTTGCCTTTCTACTATAATATTACTGGTGATAGGAAGAATTTTGTTCAATTTCCACAATTTTGGTTTTATTCGGGTTTTATTTGACAAATTGAATTATGAAAGAAATTTTTTATATCTCGAGTAATATTGACAGCCCAAAAAATGGCTTACAACATTTTGTAAATGCCGGGACACTAGGATAATGGTTATAAGAATCTTGCAAGTAAAAGTTTAAAGTATTTTGACGAATGACGCAAATAATTCTAAAGATAAAAAACAACCTTCTAGTCTTTAATTCTGCAGTTATATTTTGACACAGTTTTAAAATTTCTCGAGAGACAGGGACATCAGATAGAAGTAATATTGGTCACGGTCAACTCCTTGAAATTTGAGGGTTTCAACCTCTACCCTTTTCATTTGACCTTAACAGTCCTTTTCAGCCCTTTAAAAACTTGAAAATTCAGATCACCAGAAAATAATATTACAACAGTCATAACCAGAAAACTGTGTAATTGGAAGACGACATTATATCAATTCTTAAGTTCATTTTATGTTACATTGCATAATTGCTATGCGCTATGAAATGTCATAACTTGAGTTTAAAAGTCGACTTCCTATTCCAGAGTTTTCTGGTTATCACTGTAGAATGATTCATTTAGCAGTATAACTCAGCCTGCTGAGAAAATTAGGAGAATGTGGCTTAGACGGAGAATTGTTGTGGCAGGCCTAGTCAACAAATTTTAATGATACCTTTTCTTTGAATAGATATTCCTGATTCATAATCAAAATTATTCAGTCCAACAACTTCATCTCCACCAGTGTCTCCTTTGGAGGGCAGGATCAATGAATTCTCTGGAACAGGATATTTATATCCAGCAACTGGTTCATCAGAGGGACATAATGGAACTCCTAAATCTAGGAACTCAGGGTTCCTACCAATACTTGCTTCTTCTTTAGGAATACAATCTGGAACATTTGTTGTTGTTGTTTTGGTTGCTGGTGTGGTGGTTGTAGCTTGTATTGTTGTAGTTGTGGCTGGTGTTGTTGGTTTTGTTGGCAGTGTGAAAGGATTCTCTGGAACAGGATATTCATATCCAGTAACTGGTTCATCAGAAGAACATAATGGAACTCCTGAATCTAGGAACTCAGGGTTCCTACCAATACTTGCTTCTTCTTCAGGAATACAATCTGGAACATATGTTACTGTTGTCGTTGTGATTGCTGGTGTAGTGGTTTTAGCTTTTTCTGTTGTAGTTGTGCCTGGTGTTGTTGGTTTTGTTGGCAGTGTGAAAGGATTCTCTGGAACAGGGTATTCATATCCAGTAACTGGTTCATCAGAAGGACACAATGGAACTCCTGAATCTAGGAACTCAGGGTTCCTACCAGTACTTGCCTCTTCTTTAAGAATACAGTCTGGAACATTTGTTGTTGTTGTTGTTGTGGTTGCTNAAGAATACAATCTGGAACATTAATTGTTTTTGTGGTTGCTGGAGTGGTAGTTGTAGCTGTTGCTGTTGTTGGGTTTGTTGGTAGTGTGAGTGGGTTCTCTGTAACAGGATATTCATATCCAGTAACTGGTTCATCAGAAGGACACAATGGAACTCCAGAATCTAAGAACTCAGGGTTCTTACCGATATTTGCTTCTTTTTCAGGCACACAATCTGGAAAATATGTTGTTGTTGTTTTTGGAGGTTTTGGTGAAGTTGTTCGTGATATTGTAGTTTTAGATGAAGTTGTATCCGCTATTTCCGATTCATAATCAAAATCTTTTAGTCCTACAACTTCAAATCCAAAATCAGGGTCATTAGAAGGACATAATGGAACTCCCAAGTCCAAGAACTCAGGGTTCCTACCAATACTTGCTTCTTTTTCAGGTATACAATCGGGAACATATGTTGTTGTTGTGGTTGCTGGTGTGGTGGTTGTAGTTTGTGATGTTATTGTTGGCTTTGTTGGCAGTGTAAGTGGGTTCTTTGGAACGGGATATTCATATTCAGTAACTGCTTCATCAGAAGGACACAATGGAACTCCTAAATCTAGGAACTCAGGGTTCCTCCCGATATTTGCTTCTTCTTCAGGAATACAATCTGGAACGTACGTTGTAGTCATTGTTGTGATTGCTGGTGTGGAGGTTAAAGCTGGTGTTGTTGTTGTTGATTTTGTTGGCAGTGTAAAGGGGTTCTTTGGAACAGGATATTCATATCCAGTAACTGCTTCATCAGAAGGACACAATGGAACTCCTGAATCTAGGAACTCAGGGTTCCTACCAATACTTGCTTCTTCTTCAGGAATACAATCTGGAACATATGTTGTTGTTGTCGTTGTGATTGCTGGTGTAGTGGTTTTAGCTTTTTCTGTTGTAGTTGTGCCTGGTGTTGTTGGCAGTGTGAAAGGATTCTCTGGAACAGGGTATTCATATCCAGTAACTGGTTCATCAGAAGGACACAATGGAACTCCTGAATCTAGGAGCTCAGGGTTCCTACCAGTACTTGCCTCTATTTCAGGAACACAATCAGGAACAGGAACAAATGTTGTTGGTGTTGTTGTTGTGGTTGCTGGTGTGGTGGTTGTAGCTTGTGCTGTTGTTGTTGTGCCTGGTGTTGTTGTAGTTGTGGCTGGTGTTGATGGTTTTGTTGGTAGTGTGAGTGGGTTCTCTGGAACAGGATATTTATATCCAGTAACTGGTTCATCAGAGGAGCATAATGGAACTCCTGAATCTAAAAACTCAGGGTTCTTACCGATATTTGCTTCCTCTTCAAGAATACAATCTGGAACATACCGTGTTGTTGTGGTTGCTGGTGTGGTGTTTGTAGCTTGGGCTGTTGTTGTTGTTGTGGCTGGTGTTGTTGTAGTTGTGGCTGGTGTTGTCGGTTTTGTTGCCAGTGTGAAAGGGTTCTCTGGAACAGGATATTCATATCCAGTAACTGGTTCATCAGAAGGACACAATGGAACTCCTGAATCTAGGAATTCAGGGTTCCTACCAATATTTGCTTCTTCTTTAGGTATACAATCTGGAACATATGTTGTTGTTGTTGTTGTTGCTTGTGTGGTGGTTGTAACTGGTATTGTTGTTGTTGTTGTTGTGGCTGTTGTTGTTTTTTTTGGCAGTGTGAAAGAGTTCTCTGGAACAGGGTATTCATATCCAGTAACTGGTTCATCAGAAGGACACAATGGAACACCTAAATCTAGGTACTCAGGGTTTCTACCAATACTTGCTTCTTCTTCAACAATACAATCTGGAATATATAGTGCTGTTGTTGTTGTTGTTGTGGTTGTAGCTGGTGTCGTTGGCAATGTGAAAGGGTTCTCTGGAACAGGATATACATATCCAGTAACTGGTTCATCAGAGGGACATAATGGAACTCCTGGATCCAGAAATTCAGGGTTCCTACCAAAACTTGCTTCTTCTTCAGTAATACAATCTGGAACATTTCTTTTTGTTGTTGTTGTAGTTTCTGGTGTGGTGGATGTAGTTTGTTCTGAGGTTGTGGCTGGTTTTGGTGGTTTTGTTGGTAGTGTGAGTGGGTTCTCTGGAACAGGATATTCATATCCAGTAACTGGTTCATCAGAAGAACATAATGGAACTCCTGAATCTAGGAACTCAGGGTTCCTATTCTGGAACAGGATATTCATATCCAGTAACTGGTTCATCAGAAGGACACAATGGAACTCCTAAATCTAGGAATTCAGGGTTCTTACCAGTACTTACTTCTTCTACAGGAATACAATCTGGAACATACGTTTTTGTTGTTGTTGTGGTTGCTGGTGTCGTGGTTGTAACTGGTATTGTTGTTGTTGTTGTGACTGTTGTTGGTTTTGTTGGCAGTGTGAAAGGGTTCTCTGGAACAGAATATTCATATCCAGTAACTGCTTCATCAGAAGGACACAATGGAACTCCTGAATCCAGGAATTCAGGGTTCCTACCAATACTTGCTTCTTCTTCAGGAATACAATCAGGAACAGGAACAAATGTTCTTGTTGTTGTTGTTGTGGTTGCTGGTGTGGTGGTTGTAGCTTGTGCTGTTGTTGTTGTGCCTGGTGTTGTTGTAGTTGTTGCTGGTGTTGTTGGTTTTGTTGACAGTGTGAAAGGGTTCTCTGGAACAGGGTATTCATATCCAGTAACTGGTTCATCAGAAGGACACAATGGAACTCCTGAATCTAGGAACTCAGGGTTCCTACCAACACTTCCTTCTTCTTCAGGAATACAATCTGGAACATATGTTGTTGTAGCTGGTGTTGTTGTTGTTGGCTTTGTTGGCAGTGTTAAGGGGTTCTCTGGAACAGGGTATTCATATCCAGTAACTGGTTCATTAGAAGAACATAATGGAACTCCTAAATCTAGGAACTCAGGGTTCCTACTAATACTTGCTTCCTCTTCAAGAATACAATCTGGAACATATGTTGTTGTTGTGGTTGCTGGTGTGGTGGTTGTAGCTTGTGTTGTTGTAGTTGTGGCTTGTGATGGTGTTGTTGGCAGTGTGAACGGGTTCTCTGGAACAGGATATTCATATCCAGCAATTGGTTCATCAGAAGGACACAATGGAACACCTAAATCTAGGAACTCAGGGTTCCTACCAATACTTGCCTCTATTTCATGAATACAGTTTGGAACTATTGAAGTTTCTAATGTTGTCGCAGATTCTTTTGAGTCTGTTGTTGCTGATGGAGTAGTTGTTGAAAATGTTTTTGTTGGGAAGGTTAATGGATTATCTGGAACAGGATATTTATATCCTTGTGCTGATCTTTTAAATTTTAAAACTGAATCCAGGTTTGTGCTCTCAGCTTTTCCTTCTTTGCTTGATCTGATCTCCTTGACTCTAGGTCCTGCTGGGAGCTCTAGAGATTCCAAGAATAAACTAAGGAACAGAGCCACAACCTGGAAAAAAATTGGTTTTAATCATGGTAAATTAAGATAAATGATAACTATTCTTGGATATTATAATAAGAAATACATTTCTTTAATAAATAAAGTTTATATTTGTTTCTATTCAAGTGCCCACCCTGTGTTCTCCATTGTTTAAGTTACAATCCAAATATGAATCTTATTTGGCTCCTAAACATGAATGTTTTGTGTATAATGCCTCAAGCTTGTTGTAAATGCAACCAATTTAATAGGTAGAAGAGTAATATTTTTTCTTCCTGATTAAACATCCATATTTTGTGTATTTTCTCGTATATTTTACTTGTATATATACATTTTACTTGTACATAGATATGTTTTACTTGTACATAGATATATTTTACTTGTACATAGATACATTTTACTTGTACATAGATATATTTTACTTGTACATAGATACATTTTACTTGTACATAGATATATTTTACTTGTACATAGATATATTTTACTTGTACATAGATATATTTTACTTGTACATAGATACATTTTACTTGTACATAAATATATTTTTACCTGTAAATAGAAATATTTTACTTGTACATAGATATATTTTACTCGTACATAGATATATATTCTACTTGTACATAGATATATTTTACTTGTACATAGATATTTTTTTCTTGTACATATATATATATATTTACCTGTATATAGAAATATTTTACTTGTACATAGGAATATTTTACTTGTACATAGATATATTTTACTCGTACATAGGTGTATATTTTACTTGTACATAGATATATTTTACTTGTACATAGATATATTTTTCTTGTACGTTGATACATTTTATTCTACTGTTATAAGGTTATCTGTATATAGATTTGGCTTGTTTGTCTGTATCAATTATAAACGTCAAAAAAGCTGAGCCGTTTTGATCACATGACCAAAGGGAAGTTTCATGGAAAGTTAAAATTTAAAAAAGTTTTCCCGGATTTATGGAAATATTAAAAATCTATCAATTCATACAGAAAAAAATAGACTCCATGAAAAGAAACATTTACATGTTTAAATTGTTGCTATAAGAGAGGCAAGAAGCGCTCTGAAAGCCTGGTTATAATTTAAAAAGCCTAATCAGAATTGTTTAACGTGGAAACATGGAAATAAGATGATTTTAATTTGACAGGTATAATCAAGAATAAGATAATTTTAAGTTGAGAGGTATAATCAAGAATAAGATGATTTTAAGTTGACAGGTATAATCAAGAATAAGATGCATGATTTTCAAAGCAGAAAAATTGATTTGTCCGCGAAGTAGTATAAATTTCATTTTACATGGGGAAGTCATTTTGAAATGCATAATTCATTTTTCGTGTATACAGAGTCTGGAGTTAATTTTACACAGTGGATGGAAGTTTAAAGTGTGGACTTATCTTTTCAACAAATTTTTAATTTAGGATAAAGTTTGAAAAAATTTGAATGAAAAGGGTTAAACATTGGAACAGGATAAGTTTCAGTTAAGTTAGTTTTTTTATAGTTTTTTTCGGGGCCATTATTATCCCCCCCCCCCTGCATTAAAAGTTGAAATATAAGGACATGAAGAATATTGCATTGTTCATATATTCAATAAATTCACATCACACTAGGTAGAAGAACACGCAAACTATACACGCGTTTATATACAATTATTACGCCATGACATCATTAACTTTGATATTCAACTTTCAGAGAACTAGCATTAGGAAGATTTAATAGAGAGGATTCGAACCCAGAGGTTATGTAGAAGTACAGAGTTGGCCCTTAGTAGTAGTTCAATCATTAGTTGAAATAAATATTATTTCAAATCAATAGTTTTAAAGATAATTTTGCTAGATTTAATGTATTCAGCAATTATACAGATATACACATTGCATCAGATGAGAGATTATAAATGCCAACTCTGTTATTCTGTATACTCTGGTGGCGATGATAGAATAGTTAAAGATAAGGTTAAGATCCGGAAAAGGAGTTAAAGGTTCACTGGAGTTTAGAGAGAAGAATAAAGGTAGAGGCAGTGGGATGGATAATGGTAGAGGAGAAGGAATGGAAGGATAAAGGAGTAGGTATAGAAGGATAAAGATAGTGTTGTAGGGATGGAAGGATAAGGGTAGATGAGTGGGGATGAAAGGATAAGGGTAGAGGAGTACGAGTAGAAATGGAAGGATAAGGGTAGACGAGTAAGAGTAGGGATGGAAGGATAAGGGTAGAGGAGTACGAGTAGAAATGGAAGGATAAGGGTAGAGGAGCAGGGATGGAAGGATAAAGGTGGAGGAGTAGGAATGGAAGGATAAGGGTAGGTGAGTAGGAATGAAAGGATAAGGGTAGACGAGTAGAAATGGAAGGATAATGATTAGGAGTGGGGATGGACGGAGAATGGATGGAAGGAGAATGGATTCAAAAGAATGGCTGAAAGGAGAGGGCCTGGAAGGAGAAGGGATGGAAGGAGAAGTGATGGAAGGAGAAGGGGTGGAAGGAAAAGTGATGGAAGTTGAGAAGGGAGGGAAGGAGAAGAATTGGAAGGAGAAGGGAGGGAAGGAGAAGGAATGAAAGGAGAAGTGATAAAAAGAGAAGGAATTTATGGAGAAGGGGTGTCAAGGATGAAAAAGGGATGGGAGGAGAAGGGATGGGAGGAGAAGGGATGGAAGGAGAAGGGATGGTATGAAAAGGAATGGAAGGAGAAGGTCTTGATAACAAACACTGTATAGAATATTTAACCTGTTGGACTCTCATGGTTGTTCTTCCCCGGAGTCCCCCCGTATATGTGATAACTTACACATCTTCACGGGGTGTTGCAACTTTTAATATTATATTACAAACTCAAGAGACTAAACAAGAATATTATTTCTATCGTAAATTGATATATCGGTATGACATATTTGTAGAAAAGTTAATTTTTAACAGATTAAAGTTGCATCATCCCAGAACGGTTTTTGAATTCTTCCCGTATTGACGCACCCTGACGCAAAGACGCACCCAAGCCGGGTCATCAATTGACTCAGAGGCGTACAGATGAGATATCACTGATGCGTCCCTTGTTGCCTATCTAGTACCCAGACTACAATAGATTTAATTCATGCTGGACTTAACTAGGGAGGTGTGAGTATGGATACTGATCCTACTGTTTCAGGGGGTGGAGATTTGTCGCCCCCCCCCCACTCTAGAAAAGTGATTGTTAAAAAAACAAAATATCTAAAGAAAATATGAAAACGTCATTTTAAATTTAAATAATATATTCAGAAATAACTAGATGATTAAGATACCAAACTCCCTTGGTGTTCCTATACAATGTGCCTTTTCGAGCTCAGAATGAGAATGCACATAATTAAATATTATTTACATTCCTTATTTATATATTTATCTATGTGCGTCCTATATTTTAAAAACTTTTTCTTGAAAAATAAAGAAGATTGGATAAAAAATTGGATTGGATTGGCTTCAGGGAACCATTAATTTGATAAAATAGAATGAGTGAATTCCGTACAGTCGTCTCTGAAGTCTCATCCTTTGAGGGTACCCTGTAAATAAAAATGCATATCATAAATGCAGCTAAATATAATCAATAATAATAACTGAAAATATCTGGAGAAAAAAGTTTTCTAACTTTTCCTGCAGAAACCAATAATAGTCTGAGAATACTGAAAGAAAAATATGGTAAATTCTCAAGAAGAATTTTCTCTAAGAAACATAGCAACATTTCCTCCCAGGGATTGTTCATATATCCAACCACAGTTTGAGGAACAAATTATTGAGTAAATGAACTAAGTTCTAGTAACAAACTCACACTTACTAAACCCTTTATCTTTGCAACCTGATGATGTGAACCTTTAATATTTCAAAGTCAGACTATTTGATCAGAGGTTGAAAGGGTATAGAGATTAGCTATTTGAGTTTGTGGCAAAAAGACAGTTTTAGAATGTAAATCTTAAATGAATTGGATTTCAATGGATATAAATAAAGTGTTATATTGTGTATATGTTTTGAATCCTGCGGCTGTGGTACGAGTAGAGTATTAATTTATCATACGATAATAGGATGGTCTTAGGCCTACCATTACATTAGGTTCAGATAGTTAGGTCCGTTATAATTTAGGATTTGATTAGAATGGGTTCAGATTTAATCTCTAGCTCCGTTATATTTTAGGATTTTAGAGTATTAGGTTCAGATGATATCCTTTAGCTTCGTTATATTTTAGGATTTTTATAAGATTAGGTTCAGATAGTATCCTCTAGCTCCGCTATAATTTAGGATTTTTATAAGATAAGGTTCAGATAGTATCCTCTAGCTCCGTTATATTTTAGGATTTTTATAAGATTAGGTTCAGATAGTACCCTCTAGCTCCGTTATATTTTAGGATTTTTATAAGATAAGGTTCAGATAGTATCCTCTAGCTCCGTTATATTTTAGAATTTTTATAAGATTAGGTTCAGATAGTATCCTCTAGCTCCGCTATAATTTAGGATTTTTATAAGATTAGGTTCAGATAGTAGCCTCTAGCTCCGCTATAATTTAGGATTTTTATAAGATTAGGTTCAGATAGTAGCCTTTAGCTCCGTTCTATTTTAGGATTTTTATAAGATTAGGTTCAGATAGTATCCTCTATGCTACGTTATAGTTTAGATCATGTGAATCTTGTATCCTGTAGTTTCTCTGTGTATATTTTGTAAAATCATAAACTTCTCTCTCAGTTTCCTAGCTTTGTATACATAAACTTACCAGTTCACTCATAAAGTTACATAAAAGAACTACAGTGTTCCGTCCTTCTCTTTTCTTACTAGAAGTATCCTACACCTTCTAAACCTTCCTCTTCACGGGACTCTAGTTCATAGTTAGTTCCGTCCTTCTCTTCTCTTACTAGAGTAGGATACAGCTTCTAAACCTTCCTCTTCACAGGACTCTAGTTTATAATTAGTTCCATCCCAGCCCCTACCTCTTCCTTTCAGTTAATTACTTAAGAAATCTCCAGGCATTGTTTTAGAACTGGGAGGACAAAGGTTTAGATAATTCTAGATCTGAATATGAGTGGACAAGGAGGATAGAAAGGTTCTATGTTTCTTAATATTTCTCTAGTTCTAGATCTAGATGATAGAGGATAAGAAGGATGGACGGATTAAGGTTTTTATATATTTCTCTAGTTCTAGATCTAGATATGATAGAGAATAAGATGAATGGACGGATTCAGGTTTCTATATATTTCTCTAGTTCTAGATCTAGATATGATAGGATGAGAAGGATGGACGGATTCAGGTTTCTATATATTTCTCTAGTTCTAGATCTAAATATGAAAGGATGAGAAGGATGCGGGGGTTCAGGTTTCTATATATTTCTCTAGTTCTAGATCTAGATATGATAGGATGAAAAGGATGGACGGGTCTCAGGTTTCTTTATATTTCTCTAGTTCTAGATCTAGATATGATAGGATGAGAAGGATGCAGGGGTTTAGGTTTCTATAAATTTCTCTAGTTCTAGATCTAGATATGATAGGATGAGAAGGATGCAGGGGTTCAGGTTTCTATATATTTCTCTAGTTCTAGATCTAGATATGATAGGATGAGGAGGATGCAGGGGTTCTGGTTTCTATGTATTTCTCTAGTTCTAGATCTAGATATGAAAGGATGAGAAGGATGCAGGGTTTCAGGTTTCTGTATATTTCTCTAGTTTTAGATCTAAATATGAGAGAATGAGAAGGATGCAGGAGTTCAGGTTTCTATGTATTTCTCTAGTTCTAGACCTTGAAATGAAAGGATTAGAAGGATGCAGGGTTTCAGGTTTCTGTATATTTCTCTAGTTCTTGATATTGATATGAAAGGATGAGTAGAGTGGACAGGGTTAAGTTGCTTTATATTTCTCTAGTTATAAAACGACATATATCGGCCGCTCTACTGTTCAATAGAAAAATACTATTCCAGTATTCGCCTTGTCATGATTCTGCTGGGTTGATCATAACCCTGATCCCTTTCTTTTCTTTTCATTCGCTCAGAGTAAATACAAGAAATCAGTTTGCGTAGTTCAATCTAAAAATAGAAAGATCACCTTTATTTAATTATAATAAAAATGAAATATATTTGAATACAATAAGAATAAAATGAACTATGTACAATCTTAAAACTAAAACAAAACAAATCTAATGTGATTTGGCTCACTCCGTACAATACATAAAATATAGCGTTAACCCCTGATACATATACCTCAATGTGACTAACAAAATCCTGACAAGCACTCAGACTCATTCATTTTTAACCAAAGACTTTTCTAATTAAAGATAGAGCATCAGAAAATCTACTTAGCAAAGTCTTTGATTTAAACCAAAACGTTATCTCTGAAAAATAAACAACACTTTCATTTTCAACGCATTCAGTCTAGATCTAGATATGCTAGAATGAGAAAAGCGGACGGATTCAGGTTTCTATTCTCCAGGGACAAGAACATAAAACCTATTCCTTCCCTGGAAGGGATTGAAAGTAAGTATCTATATATTTCAATAGTAATGGTCCTAAAATAAAATAAACCTTAGAAAGTACACAGAATTTTTAAACCAAGAGAAACTTTATATTTTTGCAATTTAAATGAAACAATTGTCAGTTTTCATTTTTAAACGCTCTCTCTCTTTTTCTATGATTGTTGTATCTGCATGGGCAATTGATTGATAAATCTATTTCATACGATTTACACTAGACTAGGTTTATAATATTGTTTTAAACAGTTAAGAAGACCGTTTAAACTTTTGTATGATATGATTTTACTATTTTTTCAAAATTGCTTAAATGGAAGAACACTTCATTTATTAAACAGCTATATGTAAGATATTAGTTTTATTCTTTCCTATTTTTAACAGTGCTATTAAATCATTAAATAATTTTTGAGTGCTCTACATACTCACTCACTGCTGACTATAAGACAGAAGGAGAAGGTAAAATAAGTGCGACATAACTGGTAGGATTTTGTGACTTCGTAGCTCCTCTAGCTTTGATTTTACACCCAAGTATGAGAGAAGAAAATTAATCAAAGCTGAAAACTTTGAATTAGATATTCTTAATCCCGATTACTTAACCTGAGTATCCAATGGACACACTTTTGATTTTCTTCTTAAACCGTTCTTTCTTGGATAGAGTAGAGAAAAATCAAAAACCGGTTTTTTAAAATTAGAGAGTCTCTCCCGTTCCTATGTATAATCTTAAATGGCGCGCAAAATTTACATTTTTCAGGATACAAGAGAAAGATTAGGTTAGTCTCGATATTAGGAAAAGAGAAGATCAAGAATTAATCTTCTTCTTCTTTTCAACATATCTTCAGTTAAAAGAGTTATGTTTGTAAACATGTCAGATTTGAATCTTACGTATAATTTACTTTATTTTGACGACAGCTGATTGATGAAAATTAAACAAAACAAAAACTATTTTTATTATTTTCCTAACTTGAATATATATTCTGTAAATTGTCTGCTATTAAGATAATGAAATTGGATTTGGAAAGATTTATTTTCCTAATATAAAGAGAACTCCAGGCTTTAAAAATACTTGAATCCATGTGTCCCCATCTCCGTTCTTATTGAACTTATATCCACCCTCCACCCTACCATACTTCACTTGGTATGTACATTGTACATAGTACATACTATTGAACAATATATCCACCCTCCACCCTACCATACTTCACTTGGTATGTACATTGTACACAGTACATACTATTGGACAATATATCCACCCTCCACCCTACCATACTTTACTTGGTATGTACATTGTACACAGTACATACTATTGGAAATGTGCAATTTGGTTTTCAAAGTTGTAGAATAAAATGTAAAATAAAATTTCCCACCCTTCTCCTCTAAACCCAATCTATCCTACTTTTCTTTTCTAAACCCAGTCTATCCACCCTTCTCCTCTATACCCTATTCATCCTATTTTTCTCCTCTAAACCATATCCATCCCACCCTTCTTGTACATTGTACACAGTAAATACATACTATTGGAAATAGTTTATTGTCAATGTGAAATTTGGTTTTCAAAGTTGTTGAATAAAATGTAAAATAAAATGGAGCGACGATTTTTATTTTTTATTACAAATTAAACCCCCCACCTTTCTCTGACAGGATAAGATTTTTGTAATCGTTAAAAACTTTGAAGGAACTGATTTTTTGCCTCAAATTCAAATTTTCTAATCTCTTAATCTTTGTAACCTGTCATATTTCAAACTTAAATTACTTGATCCAAGAGAAGTCATAGTTTGAAATATCAATGGTCTGCTAAGTTGATTGTAAAGATTAGAAAATCAGAGTTTGTGGAAAAAACTCAGTTCATTTAAACTTTTTAACGTTTAACGTTTTTCTTTTTTATTTATTCTTTATTGAATTTATTTATACTCTATCAATCCCGTGGTTCAAACGTGTTAAAGATTTGAGACGAATCTGTCAGAGGGTTAATCATGAGTTATGATCAAAGAGAATAGAATATATGTTAGAGGAGAATTTACTAGAAAAAAAGTGTAAAACGGCCATTTTGTTGTACTGTTTCCATACTGCAGGTGTACTTCACATATTTATGCTATATAACCTTTTGGGCCCTGGAATATCATTTTATAGAAAATCTAAAATTATTGTTAAAAGAAAACCAAATTATGAAATAGGCTGGTTTCATAATTGACCAATGATCATTTCACATAGACTCTATGCCTTTCACTTTACAAACGATGATTTTCCGTTATAACTATAAATCAAATGATGTTTTTATTCACCTAATTCATTATAAAGTTTATTTAACAGTTTAAAAAATTCGAAATTGAAATGAATAGTCTAGGGAACATACTGTATTAATGTACTCTACTGCATATAATTTGTGAACATTTACATGATTTGTACACTTTGAACTGAAAGGGACTGAAAAAATTCCTACGGAGAGATTCTTTAAATTCCCCTCTAATATATATTCTATTCTCTATGGTTATGATCGGACAAACCAAAAAACAGACAGAAATTAATACTTAATATATATAAATATATACAGATACATTTTAAACAATCAGTGTATATACTGATTCACAGTTTACACAATATATTCCAACAAAATATCTATAAATGTTAAACATTTATTAAAGAAAAGAATTTTTAAAACGAAAATTATCTACTATTATTAATCATATTTTGTCATAAATGAAGTTTCCACCGTCCTGCAAAGGCTGAAAGTTGTTTAGAAAGTTATATTTAAAATAGACGGAACTTAGTTCATGTATTCCTAATAAACTTTGCTCACTTCACTCAGAAGTAAAATATTAAGAAAGAACGCTACATGAGATCAAATATGGTAGATTGTGATAAATTCATAAGGTTCAAACATGTACTTCTCCAGGATAAATCTTAATCTTGAAAAATGCGATCAATCAAACTGTCCGGATTGGTGTGAAGGTAGGATGAGAGCCAAGGGTTCAGGTTCCCGGCGGAGCCTCGGAGATTCACTGCTCAGACTCAACAGTTTGACGGGAACCTTCTCCAAACTTGATTGGATCAGATTTAAACCAGCTTTCAAAATAATACTTTTAGTCTAAATTTTTAAAATTAAATTCAAAATCAACGTTGTCTCCAATTTTATAAGTAGAATCAATTTTGAATTATTTGTATCAAATTTAAATCAATAAAAAAGTGGTATTTCAATGACTTCTCTGGGTTCTGGGTCAAAAAAATTAACCAATGAAAATTTAATTTTGAAAAACATAAAGGAATTGAGTCTTTGTCACAAACTCACGCCGTAGTTTCGATATAAGTAAAGAATTCCATTTAGTACTTTCCGCTAATTTACATATCAATCTCTTATTGGATTATAAGATTTAAATAGACAGATAGATAGATAGATCTTGCCGCCTTTGCAATTCTATTGGTCCTGAGTACCCAATAAGAACGTGAGTGAACCCTGATCGAATCAGACGCTGCTGGACGTGTAAAACTATACTCTGTCTGATTTTCTAATCCCCATATCTTTGTATCACATTTTGTAGACCTTAAATATTTCAAACTATGAATTCTTTTAGATCAAATAATCTACGTTTACACCATCAGGTTGCAAAGATAAATGGGTTTGGAGATTTGAGTTTGTGTAAAATACTTAATTCCTTAAACAATTTTTAAAAATCTTGAATTCAAAATTGAATGAAAATAAAATAAAGCTCTCCAATCTGAGCAGAATTAAACCAATCAACCCTTTAAAAAAAATTGACAGCAATATTGTGATTCTATCAATTTCTGAAGAATGTGTTAAATTGTATTTAAAACTATGTAAATACGACAAAAAGCGGGAAGTCTTTGAATAGAAATATAAGTAAAGTAAAATATTTTTTATTTTTCCAATATTTCCGTTTTAGAACTGTTTATGATATCTAAGCTTGGCAGGAGAAACTCAATAATTGAGACCACTACCACCATGAGTTCAAGTATCTAATCATTTCTACCATACAAAAAGATGGAAAATTTTCATCATTCAAAGATGTTTATTTGTTTCTGTAAAATTTCACTCAAAAGAAGTAATCTCAGGAACGGTTTCAGACATACCAAGAAACTAATGAAAAAATGTAAAGCAAGCGGAAATTCTTTTTTAGAACTCAACCCTACTATACTCTACTCTACTCTACTCTACTCTACTCTACTCTACTCTACTCTACTCTACTCTGGAATTAAAAACTAATGGAAAATAAATCCTTGTTAAATCAATACCTAGTATCCACTACAGTATACTACATAACCTAGACATTTTAGTTTTATCAAGATCTTAATTATTGAGGCAGACTAGAAGACTATTGCAGACTTTTTAACAAATAGGCCAATAGACTTGCAAACTTGTGAACCACTTGACTATTAGACTAACACACTAGTGGACTGGTAGACTAATAGTCAAGATGACTATCAGACACTAGTAGACTGACAAGACAAATATACTGGTGAGCTACTAGACTAGTGGACTAGTAGACTAGTGCGCTAGTAGACTAGTGAGCAAGTAGACTAGTGGACTAGTAGACTAGTAGACTAGTAGACTAGTAGACTAGTGCGCTAGTAGACTAGTGGGCTAGTAGACTAGTGGACTAGTAGACTAGTGGACTTGTAGACTAGTAGACTAGTGGACTAGTGGAATAGTAGACTAGTGGAATAGTAGACTAGTGGACTTGTAGACTAGTGGACTAGTAGACAAGTGGACTAGTAGACTAGTGAACTAGTAGACTAGTGCGCTAGTAGACTGTGGGCTAGTAGACTAGTGGACAAGTAGACTAGTAGACTATTAGACTAGTGAACTATTAGACTAGTGGACTAGTAGACTAGTGGACTAGTAGACTAGTGAACTAGTAGACTAGTGAACTAGTAGACTATTTGGCCAGTAGACTAGTGGACTTGTAGACTAGTGGACTAGTAGACTAGTGGACTCGATTTTTTTTTCTCGTTTTTCAATTAGGCGGAGACTGATAGACTAGTAGACTAGTATACTAGTAGACTAGTGGACTTGTAGACTAGTGGACTAGTAGACTAGTAGATTAGTGGACTAGTGGACTAGTAGACTAGTAGAGTAGTAGACTAGTTGACTAGTAGACTAGTATACTAGTGGACTAGTAGACTATTGGACTAGTAGACTAGTAGACTAGTAGACTAGTGGACTATTAGACTATTGAACTAGTAAACTAGTGGACTAGTAGACTAGTGGACTAGTAGACTAGTGGACTAGTAGACTAGTGGACTAGTAGACTAGTGGACTAGTAGACTAATGGACTAGTAGACTAGTGGACTAGTAGACTAGTGGACTAGTAGACCAGTGGACTAGTAGACTAGTGTACTAGTAGACTAGTAGACTAGTTGACTAATTTGCTATAATTATAAAATTAATAATTCAAACACCAACCAAACTTATTTTCGTTCTACACAGAATTTTAACAATATTGATCATTGATTGAGAATATTCCTTGAATCTCCCTGTATTTCAGTAAGGATGGGAGGAGAGTATACCCCTAATTTCTCCCTGTATTTCAGTAAGGATGGGAGAGAGTATGCTATTGGAAGCTGCGAGGTCGGGAGATGAATCTCAGGTCCGGGTTCATATTAAAGAAGGAGCAGACGTCAACCAGGTGGCTTATTTTTTAAACAAACATTTTTCTGCACAAATAAGTTTAAGATTAAAGCTTTATTTGTTCAGAAGGGAATTGAGTCTTTGCCACACACTCTGATTTTCTAATCCCTATATCTAATATGTTATAAACCTTAGATATTTCAAACTATGAATTCTATTAGATCACATAACCTAAGTTTGAAATAAATAACATTGGGATGCAAGGATATAGAGATTAGAAATTTTGAGTTTGTGGCAAAGACTCAAATCCTTTTTTTTTAATTAAAATCATGTAATATTGCTGGCTAATCGAAGATTTTTTTGTTACCGTAAAAAGATCCGATATTGGAAAATGCTTGAACTTGACACGTGATTAGTTCAGGTTGATAAACACGGAGAAACTGCTCTCATTATTGCTTCTTGTCTTGGATATGAAAAGGTGAAGTTTTTAGCTTTATAAATCTCTATTAATTCCGCACAGTCAACATATATTTAAACCCGTCTTATTCTATATTAATTCCGCACAGTGAACAAATATTTAAACCCGTCTTATTCTATTAATTCCGCACAGTGAACATATATTTAAACCCGTCTTATTCTATTAATTCTGCACAGTCAACATATATTTAAACCCGTCTTATTCTATTTTAATTCCGCACAGTGAACATATATTTAAACCCGTCTTCTTCTATTTTAATTCCGCACAGTGAACATATATTTAAACCCGTCTTATTCTATTAATTCTGCACAGTCAACATATATTTAAACCCGTCTTCTTCTATTTTGTGTCGATATCTGATTCAATCTAGACTATATACGCCGTCACAAGTTTTAAATGTCAGTTTGATAAATAAGGGAATTGAGTCTTTGCCACAAACTCTCTACTCTGCTTCTCCTTTACTCTTTACTCCGCCTCTTCCCTGCGGCCCTGCCCCTCCCCAAATTATTTTCTTTACTTCGTCCCCACCCCTTTCCTCCCCCCTTCTCTCTCCACCCTAGGCCTCTATCACAAAACTTTAATTAGCTTTGAGTTCTCTTCAATTCTTTAATTTAATCAAATATTTCAATTCTAACAAACATTGTTTAAATGTTTAAAAACTACAATAAAAGGAAAATACAGGGTTCTTCATATTGGACTGACAACTTTCAAATTGAAAACACAATTTGATGATCCCTATATCCTGTGCAAACCAACGTCGGAGACCTTATATATTTTAAACAATATTTTCTGTCTCATCAAACAATGTACGTTTAAAATATCTACCATCACTGTCAGGTTGCAAAGATAGAGGGATTAGAAATTTGAGTCTTTTAATTTAAAGGTTGTCAATAAAGGCCATCTCATATGAGTAACCTTGTATTGTTAAACATTTAAACAATGTTTGTTAGAATGGAAATATTTGATTAAAATAAAGAATTGAAGGGAATTCAAATTTGATTAAAGTTTCGGGAAAGAGGCCTGGGGCGGAGAGAGAAGGGGGGGAAGGTAAAGGAGAGGATGGGTAGAGGGGAGGTAATGGAATAAAGATAATGGTAGGGGAAGGGACGGATACAGAATGAGGGAGGGGCGGAGTAGAGAAGGGTTAGAGGACGGGGACGTTGTAAAGAGGGGGAGACCGAGTGGCGAGAATGGTCGAGAGGGAAAGGCGGAGTGAAGAAAAGGGTCGGGGNGGTTGGGGGAGGGGCGCAGTAAAAACAAAGGGTTGGTTGAGGGGTGGAGTAAAAAAGGGATGGCCCGGTTTGGTGAGTTGTGGAGTAACAAAGAAGGGTTGGGTGAGGGGTGGAGTAAAAAAGAAGGGTTGGGTGGAGGGTGGAGTAAAGAGAAGGCTTTAAGGAGTGGCGAAGTAAAAAAAGGGTTTCTTACCTGGGTTTTATTCAAATCCAGCAGAAGCGAGCCAAGAAAATAGTTGAGCAAATTTTTACCAAAAAAAAAACTTTCTTTCTTGTTTTTGGAACATTTTCAAGTAAGACGATACATAAGACACATACATACACTTGAAGCTTTTATAACCACGAAAATTAAATAAGGATATTTAAGTTGTTTCTAAAACTTGGTTGGTGCACCATATCCTCCGCATAAATTATATTGAAGGGTTCTCCCTTGCACTATCCGAGGTAGAATAATTCAATATTTTACCGGAATTCAACCAAATTTTACATTTTTATCCTTTATAATTTACATTTTGGTTTTGTATTTAAACAGAGATAAAGTTGAAAATTTTACATTTTAATCTGTCATTCGAAAGCCACCAAATAAAGTGTTGAACCTCAAAAACATGGATCCTATGAAAAGTCATGAAATATGCTTAATAATCTACACATATTACGGTGATAATAGAATCAAAAGTTAAAACTTGAATCTCCATGGGTTTGAATTAATTTTACCGGAATTCTACTAAAGGAATTGAGTCTTTGCAACAAACTCTGATTTTCTAATCCTTATATTCTCCCAACCAAATGTCGTAGACCTTAGATATTTCAAACTATGAATTCTGTTAGCTCAACTGATCTAAGTTTGAAATATCAAATGTTTACAACATTAGATCGCTAAGATATTGGAATTCGAAAATTTAAGTTTGTGGCAAAAACTCAATTCCTTTTACTTTTATACTTTATATTTTGGCAATTTTACAAGGATACTGTTGAAAATTTTAGATTTTTTTCATTTTTTTATCTGTCATTCGAAAGCCTAAAAAACATGGATCCTATGAAAAGTTATGAAGTATGCAAAACATTCTAGACACATATCGCGGGGATAATACTGTGTTAAGCGATTATATCAATACAATGAAGACGACTTTTGATTTTAATTTTGATTTAAATCACGCTGTTAAACAGCGTGGATACACATGAACATAAAAGTCATTGGATGTTGTCAATTAAAAAAACTTCTCTTTGATCACTTGTTAACTTGTAAATCGAAAAAAGCATGTGAACAACCAAAACTTAAATGAAAAGTCGTCTTTATTGTACTGATTTATTCGCCTACCACTGTAGGTTTGAAAGTAACGGCTTTTTAGGTTTATGAAAAACAGTTTTCATTAGATATTAATCAAATGTTTACTTAAACTTTTACATATGGTGTATAGTTATTTAAAATATTCGGCTTTTAGAGCGCTTCGCGACCCATTTTATATTTTTCGATCTTAGCTTTTAACTGTGTTGCTCTGAAAGTCGCTATTCTTTAATCGTTCTAAAGTTTTTGCAGATTTTTCAGTTTAAATTTTTTTAATAATAAATAATTTATGGGCCATCAATCAAATTTTTGCATACTGAAAGCCTATAAACCTTCCCTGGGCTTATGTGATTTTCCATAAAAAAAGTTGGGCCCGATCGGTTCAGCCGTTTATTGGATACAAACAGACAGACAAACAAGAAAAATAAATAAGTACTAGGCTCTTTTGTATACATTGTAAAACAAAAACAAACAAAAATGTCTAGGATTTTCAAAATTTAAAAAAAATGAATTTTGTCAGAGGCAAATTTTTGATTTGACGTTTATTGGAAACAAACGGACAGACAAACAGACAAGCAAAGTATATATAGATAGATTAATAATTATTAACAATTTGATATTAAAGAAGTATAGGTAATGTATGAAGGAAAGTCTTTAAAATAATTGAATGAGAAATTAATTCTGAAAAGTTTTGTTCTTTACTATTATTAAACAGTTATATCAGATCTAAAATTATCCTCCATTCTAAAACTTATAATTTTATTGGATTGGGGATTCAACTTCAGTCAGGGTTTTAAAAAGGAAACAGATATTTTTCTCTTGAGGCTTTGTACGGTTGGGTTAGAGAAATTTAAATATTGGAAACTGCCCATGATGAACTGCCCAATCCATTTATGAAATGTGTGTACTTCTCAGTATAATGTTTAGAAGTGGAAAGGGAAGGGGGTAGGGAATGTAAAATTAAAAATGACAGGGAAATCATTTATGCTGTGTGGAAGGCATTACAAACGTGAAATTAATTTAATTTAAACATTTAAACTTTAATTGAACACAAGGAGAACCGTTGTTTAACATTCTCCAGAATAGGAGCTCGGAGAAAACTTAAATTCGAATAATCTTAGAATCTTAAGTAGACTAAGCAGATTTGCTTACAGTTCTCTTCAAAACAGCTAAAAATAAATTTTACACTTGATTAGGACGAAGGATGCAAATATAAGGATTAAACTCTAGGTTGTAGCGGAGCTACTGCAAGTTCCTGGAATCCAGGTTAATAAGAAAACACCTGAAGGTTGGACAGCTCTGGTAGCAGCTGCAGACAAGGGGCATCACGCCGTGGTTCGTAAACTCCTGGAGCACCCAGAAACTGATCCTAATACTAGAGATAAACAAGGTAGTTTCTGTGTACTGATCCTAATACTAGAGATAAACAAGGTAGTTTCTGTGTACTGATCCTAATACTAGAAATAAACTAGGTTAATATAAACAATGTCTACGGTGAGAACCAGAAAACTGTGGAATAGAAAGACGACATGAAAGCTCTTTTTAATTGTATTTGATGTTGTTAGAAAGCAAATAGTTTTACTATGAACTAGGTTCATTAGACTATTTAAATTTATAATATAAGAAAATGTCGTCTTCCTAATCCAGAGATTTCTGGTTCTTACTGTATTTATTTTAAATATCAGAAGCTAAATATTCAACAGAAGATCATCTTATTCATGCAAAAGATTAATTTCCGTTCCATTTCAGCCTTCACAAAATCACATTTGTATCACATATCACAGTTTAAACGTTCTTTTTAGAAGTTAGATTTTACCAGATTTTACTTATATTTAACGTTTTAGATATTTTGGTAACCTAAAAGTTAGATAATCCATATATATCATAGGTTTTAAAGTTTATATTGGTTGTGCAGCTCTGTGAATAAATGGATTTGAAGTTTGAAAATATTTAAAGAAAAAACTCTCGCAGCAGATGTTTTGCAAAATAAATCTTTCCCGCGTCAATTTTCATCTGTTTATAATGCGCAAAGGAACTGCACACTCTTCTCAAATTCTAATTTTCTCATTTTATTTCTAATTGTAACCTAAAACTTTTCAAACTATAAATTCTTCTCGATCAAGTGGACAAAGTATGAAATAAAACATCATCTTACAAAGATATATTTGATGCATGTAGTCAGTTTTAAGGAAAACTTAGAATGATCGTTAAACGTGTTGTTAACTTTAATGATTTTCAGTTTTAGTTTATTGCATAGTTTTAGCAAATTGGTGGAGTTTGTTTCAAGTTTAGTTTATTGCAGCATAGTTTCAGCAAACTGGTGGAGTTTGTTTCATGTTTAGTTTATTACATAGTTTCAACAAACTGGTGGAGTTTGTTTCAAGTTTAGTTTATTGCATAGTTTCAACAAACTGGTGGAGTTTGTTTCAAGTTTAGTTTATCGCATAGTTTCAGCAAACTGGTGGAGTTTGTTTCAAGATTTCCTTATTGACAAATTATTTCCTTAAAGTTAGTGTCGTTGTAATTCTTTAAAGAGAAAATGTCTCGATTCACAACGGAACCTTTAGAAACGGAATTAATTCTGAATAAATTAAACTGACTAAACTGAGTTTAAAACTTGTGTAACTTGAAGATGTTGAAACGGCTTTTACCAAAAAAAAATAATGAGCAGCTGAGAGAATGTAGAGAACTGGAAGTTTTCTCATTATAAATAATATTACCCACATCCTGCATCTGCATCTAGCTGGGAAAATATTAGTATTTTCTCACAAAATATTATATTAGAACTTTTGTAAAGTTTTAAACTTTAAACCTGATGAGAACATATTGTTGGAGGAGTTAGAGAGAGAGAGAGAGAGA